GGGGGGGGCGTGGGGAGGGAGTTGGGCACGGACCCTTGGCAGGTTTGGTCAGTGCAGACCTGGCACAGTTTTCTATGTAACGAGCATGTCAGATGTATTTGCAGGGGGGAAAAGAAAAAAAAAAAAGAAAAAAAAAAAAGGGGACTTTTGTGGCTTTTTCCTTCTCCATGTGGCTCAAATAAGAGAAGCCGAAGTGAGCGTGGAGCGAGGCAGGACTCGGAAGGGGCTGTGGGAGCCGCTGTGCAGGATTTGTGCCTCCGTGCTCCCCAGCCCAGGGCAGTCCCAGGGTTCAGGCAGATGTTAAATCCCCAGAGCTCAGTTTAGGATAATTGTCCATCCCAGAAAACCAGAAGGAAAACCCAGACTGGTGGGTCCGGCCGTTGCCCCTCACATCCCGGTACCCCCTGGCTCCCCGAGCCATGCATGCCGTGTCGCACCGGGGGTCCCACCGTCACATCCTGGTACCCCCTGGCTCCCCGAGCCGTGCATGCCGTGTCGCACCGGGGGTCCCACCGGCATCACCCGGCGCCTTTTTCCGTGTCTGAGTTGTTTTTCTTTTTTAACCTGGGGGGTGGCGGGGGGGGCGTGGGGAGGGAGTTGGGCACGGACCCTTGGCAGGTTTGGTCAGTGCAGACCTGGCACAGTTTTCTATGTAACGAGCATGTCAGATGTATTTGCAGGGGGGAAAAGAAAAAAAAAAAAGAAAAAAAAAAAAGGGTTTCCTTCTCCATGTGGCTCAAATAAGAGAAGCCGAAGTGAGCGTGGAGCGAGGCAGGACTCGGAAGGGGCTGTGGGAGCCGCTGTGCAGGATTTGTGCCTCCGTGCTCCCCAGCCCAGGGCAGTCCCAGGGTTCAGGCAGATGTTAAATCCCCAGAGCTCAGTTTAGGATAATTGTCCATCCCAGAAAACCAGAAGGAAAACCCAGACTGGGAGAACCGGGAGGGCTGGAGAAGCTGGAAAGCGACATCCCTTGCCACAGGCAAGGACCCTTTTGACACCAAAGAGCAGGGTCCAGCCCAGTTTAATGACATTTGACCAACCTCGTTTAGAAATTAGATTCACCCACATGTGACAAACATACTGGGAGCAAATTTCCCAGTTTTAAAGCAGCAGTGGCTGGAAACTCGACGGCAGCAGCAGTGGGTCACCCCAGCACCCAGCTCAGCTTGGGGTTTGCAGCCCATCCCAGGTCATCACCACCCTCAGCCCTGCAAACCCCTTCATAAACGATGCTAAACCAACTTTCAGAGGGTACTAACGTCCATATTGATAACTAATGAATGATTAATGCACATGTGTTAACAAACTGCGGCCGCTATTAGTCTGTTATTAATTATTGATAGCGTGTTTATAAGGATGGCCTTACGCTGAAGGGTGCAGAGCCAGCACCTCGCCTCCTGCTGCAGGGAAACTGGGGGCAAGGGAGGGAGGTGTTAAAAGGGTTCACACACACACACAGGAGTGTGTACACACGTGCATATACACACACACAGAGCTAAACCTCTCGGATGTGACTGGAAATGGGGGCACCAGGGAGGGGGTCTGCACCCCAGCTCTCTGCCTGGGGAAACTGAGGCAGGGAGGGGGCACTGCAGTAGGGCCAAGGGGGTGTCCTCTTGAAGTGACTCTCTTGGTCTTGTCCCCCATCCTGTCACTCCAGGGGACACCCATGGAGGTCCTTGGCTGAGCTGCCATCACCCACCAAGCACTCGGCCACCCCGGTGTCCCCTTGCCCAGCTGCCTGGGGACCATCTCTCCTTGTGTCCCCAGCAAAGGGGCTGCTACACCTCCCCGAAACCCACCCACTCCTCTCCTCCCAGGCTCAGTGGCTGCCCCCATGTCAGTCCTGGCTTTCCCAGTCTAGCACTGGGATGGGGACCGGGATGGGGACTGGGAGCCTGTGGGGTGGTGGAAGCAAGGCAAGGCCTCCATCTGCTGGAGAAAAGGGCCCTGGGCCAGTTCCCAGCCTCTGCACCCCAAAATACCCCACCCCACTGCTCCCCAGGGAGGTCCCGACACCCACACGAAGGAGAGGGGCCCTGGGTGCAAAATAACTGGGGTGCTGCTGGTGCCCTGCCATGTCCCCTCAGTCGGGGAAGAGCTCTTGTGGGAGAAAAAGAGGAAATTGGGTTTTTTCTCTCATTTCCTGCATGAAAAAGGGTACTACGTGGCACAAGAGCAGAAGAGGTTAAGATCAGGGTTATAGTTCGGGGTGCACCCCAGGGACACCCGTGGGAGCCAGGGCTGAGCAGCTCTGGGAGGGGGATGAGAGGGGCCGGGACCAAAGATGCTAAGAAACCAGCTGAGGTGGTTTGGGTGTCCTCTGTGTCCACGCCAGCCCCCCCAGGTACCACCCCGACCTGCCCTGAGCTGAGAGTCCCCACAGCACTGATACCTTGAGAGAAATGATGGAAAAAAAAAAAAAAGGCAAAAAAGTAAAGACAATTAGAAAAACACAATTTTCCAGCAGCTGCATTTAAAGATCGTATCTCCCGCTGGGAAGAGAAACCAATTTCCTTACAAATTAAAAAGACTTTGGCTAAGTAAAACTTCCCTGAAGTCCCCAAATCCCAGCCCTGCGCAGCTCAGGGCTTGGGGGGGGGGCAAAGGGCTCGGCACCCCCCGGACCAGAGACTGCAATTCCCTGGGTGTCCCCCCCAGCCCCCAGGCTCCTCGGCTGCTTTATCAGCCCGGGGAGGGCAGAGGAACCCACCGATGGACTCGGGGGGGTTTTCCCTGTGGCTTGGAGAAGCAAATCAGCCTGGTTTTAATTAGTCTCTGCAGGGCTCAGCAATATGAAATCAGAGTCCTTTTGAAGGGCTCGGGTTGCTTTCAAACTTGGTGTTGTCACCTTCATTAGCATAAGAGGTTATCAGGAAATTTGCAGCTAATACTTCAGGAAAAGGCAATTCCTGCCACCTCTGGGCTCCTGCCACCCCGACTGGGAGGGTCACTTTCACTGCATTAATCCTGTAATTTTATCCCTTACGGTCTGTGGTATGTCTGGAAGGTAACATTGCTCATTTGGGAAAAATATTAATGCTTCTAATAGATTTAATCTCATTTAAAACACTTTGTTGTACAGTTATTAAAGTAAATTACTTACTGGGATGAGGGACATACACTGACCCCATTGCTGAACACCATCGGTGAGCCCAGGATCCTGCTGCATCTTAAATAGTCCATTTATATTCTTTATTTTTTATTTTAGCCCTAGATGAGGAGTTGCCCAGCCTGGCTGATGGGCTGGGGTCCCGGTCGGGGCTGGGACGTGGGGATGAGTGGCCCCAGCAGCAGCGTGGGATGGACCCTGCGGGTACCGATGCGGGTTGTCATCTCCCGACGTCTCACACATCCTCCCCGAGCTGGTGCCGGCTTCAAACATGACTCAGCCCCCAACATATATTTTTATCAGCTCTGGCAGACGGCCCCCGGCACCGCAGAAACGGCCCTTGGCAAGCGCCGCGGGCCAACAGACACAAACCTGGCCTTGGCAAGGAAACGGGGATTGCAAAATCCACGGTGAGGAAACCACCGAGGCGAGGGGGCTCCTTGCTGGGGCCCGGCTGCAGGATCACCTGTGAGCCCCAAACCTGCCCCCCCAAAGCCCTGGAGGTGCCCTGTCCTGTGTGTGCCCACCCTCCTGCCAGGGATGGACCGTCCAGCTCAAACGGTGGAGATGCAGCCCATGGTTCCATGTTCTTCGTGCAAGTCCATGTCCCTCAAAACCTGCTCGTGCCCAGCCTGGTGATACCAGGAGAAATCCCTGACACCGGCTTCCCACAGCTCTCAGCTTACCCACACACCCGGGGCCAAGTGCTAATGAGTGTAATTAGTTCAAAGACTGAATAGAAGGGAGCAAATAGTAAAACATTTTGGGGTTTAGACTGCGAAAAGAGCGCTAAAAGAGCAACTTCAGCTGAGAGGGGACAGACACCGATGGGGGATATATATTTTTTTCAGCAGCTGAATCAGGTGGCTTCATGGTCTCTGTAAAAAAAAAGGAAAGAAGAGAAAGAAAAAAGTGTTTTTCTAACGCCTGGGCTCCTCATGTGCAACGGCTGCAGGAAATCCCAGCAAAAAAAAAAACAAAACAGTGAAGAAAACAAAACAAAAAAGTTTCACCTCGCTCATCCATCTAGAGTAACACAACCTGGAGAGGGAATTAATTATGAGGTTTGGAGGGGTTTACCAAGGAAATCCCCCCACCTTTCCATACAGCTGCCACCCAGAAAGCAGCCCGGGAGGAGAGCGGAGCCCCCCACGAGCAGCTCGGGGAGTTGAGGGGGGGCAAACCCCTGGGGGCAGGATGCACCCAAGGGGGTGCAATTGCTGTGGCTGCGGTGGGAGCCCCTGTGGGCAGCGGGGAGCGAGGCCAAACCTCCGGCTTCCTTTAGACTCGCAAGCAGTAGATTTTGAAAGAACATCCTCCGGCCAGCGGGGCTGCAAGGAGTTGGGCAAGACCATTCCCAGCAGCGCCATGGCCAGCACCGGGGGAGCCTGGGCCAGGGAACGGGAGCTGCTGCCGAGCGGGGAGATGGAGCTGGAGCCCCCCAGACCCCCACCGCTGCCAGGGAAAACTCAGAGGTAACAAATAATTCTGCAAATAGGGCTTAAAAATGAAGCGGCATCAACTGAGCCCGATGCTTTGCGCCGTGGCGAGAGGCAGGGGGATAAGCCCCAGTTCCTGGGGGGTAACGGGAGCCGAGCTGGGAGAAAAAAGGGGGCACAGCGAGTGATGTCCCCAGCAGAAACCGGAGTTTTTAAAGCAAACCACCCTGGTTTCGGTACCGCTTGCGGCGGCGGGGTCGGTGCTGCAGGTTTGTGCTGAGCCTGGCCAGGATGGGGAAGCGAAACCCCAACCGGGGCTGAGGTCGGCTCCTTCCCACTGCTCTGCTCCCAGCTTGTCCCC